AGCCCCGCCCCGGACCCGCTTCTGGGTGCAGCGCAGGATGAGGAAGGTCTCGATGCTGTGCTCCTTGAGGTAGGCGTTGCGCTCGCCCCCGCAGCCTGGCTCCACCTCGTAGTCCCCGTTCAGGTAGTTGAGTGTGGCCTTGGTGATGTGGATGCGTCTACAGGTGCAGAAGGAGGCGGGAGAGGAGGGAGAAAACGTGAATTCAGAGCTCTAGCTGCCAAGCAGAACCCAGATGCACCGACTCAACCCCGATTCAAAGTGCGGCTCAGAAGCCAACCCCAGCTCGATCCCCACTTGACGTCCTGTTTCCCTCCAATGTCATCGAATGGCTCAGGGAGGGTCCGTCCCAGCTCGCGACCCTCGGCCACACAACCTCACATCTATGGTACATTGTTATAACAACACAACACGTTTTTACCCGGCCAGGAACACAGCCTGCAGTCTCAACTTTGCAAACCTGGCCAGGAGCCAGCAGGGGCTCCTACTGACTACCGACTGCGTCCAAACCCCATCTGGCATGACTGCCCTTCTTAACACCGGCTTTTCCCATTGGTCCCTAAAAAGCCATCTGCTCTATGTTTTCCTGTCCTGTGTCTGTCCTCGCCCCACCCCTCAGCCTGACACTCGCCCTACCCCACCTTCCTTATCTGTCCAAATCCTGCTCTTCGTCCTGGCCAGCTCATCCCACCTCCTTTCTGCCCTGGATACCCCAGAATTTATCTGTGGGTCCTCCCTCCTCCAGAGCTCTGCCCTACCTCCCGCATCTCACCAGCCACCGCGTTCTGTGTAAACAGTTTCTGGGTGGAGGCTCGGGAAGCTGACCTGACGCTCCCTACACTTGCCCTGGTGTCGTGTAAGTAAATTGTCAGGTTGAGTAGTTTCTGCTTAAACTCTGCCACCCCCAGGGTTTCAAGCGACTCCATCCTGCCCACTCCAGCCCCGCCCCTCACGCCTGTGGCCCTGAGTGAGCCTGGGGGGAGGGGGGGTACGGGACCGGGAGGCTATGTCGGGGCCCTGCCCACAGCCCTCACTCACCCAGCCTTGCCTCCAGCCTCCATGTGGTTGGCCAGCGTGACGTCGTTAGACCAGACGTCGAACTGCCACTTCCTGAGACCAAGGACACCGCAGTGTACTCGCCCGCTGTGAATTCCCACGCGCATGTTCACGTTCACCCCTGTCACCTCCCGGACCAACCTGGGGATGGAGCAGGGGTGAGGCTGGGAGAGGGTCATGGGCCGGGCACACAGAGTGGGGGTGAGGCTGGAAGGCAGGAGGTCAGGGGATGTGTCAGAAGGTGCAGGGGTCAAAAGTCATTTTCTCTGGGCCAGCCCAAACCCAGTCTGAGACCCTCCAACCTGCAGGGCGGGGCTGGGCGCTGGAGCTCAGGAGCTTCGAACTGTGAGGTGCTGCTTCCTGACTTGGCCACAAGGTGGCGTGACACCTCACACTAAAACCCAGGCCCCCCTGCTTCCCCCCACTAGGGCACCAGGAGCCATTGCTACCCTCAGTCCATGACATTGTGTTTCGAAAATGCAAATGAACATTAGTGCCAACTTGAGCCAGATGGGGAAGTTACAGCCAATACATACCCCATTCATATAATGCTCTTGGCTTTATCCACATCGCTGGGCAAGAGAGGAAAGGCGGGTAACTGAGGACATGTGTCTGCTCAGAAAAGAAGGGTGGCCTAGGCAGGGGTAAGGACTAGGTGTCCCCGATGGGCTAGAAGACAGCTCCAGTCCCTGCTACCCAGGGGGTCCCCGATAGACAGGTGGCCATCCAGGGAGTAGGTCAGAGATTGCATCCTCTGTGGGGAAGGGAACAGGACAGACGCTATCCATCTCCAGGTCTGTGTCTGGCCCCAGGGTCAGTGCAGGAGGGTCAGGCATTCTGGGGTCAAGTACACAGGATGCACTGGGAGGGACCTGGACCCTCCCAGACATCCTGGGGATGAGCCCACTCAGCCAGCTGTGGGCCAGCAGTCTGACTTGGCGGGCTGACCACAAGCGCTCCAGCCCACCCCGCCAGGGAGAGGCTGACCCCCTGCAGGGAAGATTTATGTCATCCATCACTTCTCTCGTCCTGGGACCAAGTCTGCAAATAGTTTACTGGAGCCATTCCTTCCATCTGGCCTCTGCCCACTTGCTTAGGTTGGTGCTATCTCATTCTACCTTTCTGGCTTACCTCCAGGGCCACCTCCTCCATGAAGCCTCTCTAGGTCTTTTCAGTGTAATCAATGGCTGCCTCCTTCACACCTCCCACCACAGTGCACCTCTCTTACCTGGGGGCATGCCTGGGCTCAGGGCATGGAGCCCCAGCCTCTCTCCCTCAACGGACTCCACGCTTCCGGGTGAGGGACCCCCCGGTGAGCCCAGGCCCACGGGGCACTCAGCAAGCACTGCCGAATAGGACTGAGCCAAACTACCGGACCCAGCCACTTCCTGGCCAGCGACTCCGACCTCTGACCTTGCCCCCTGTGGCTTTCCTTGTGCCCCTGCCCAGGCTATGTCTAAAGCTCAAAGTTACTGAACCTGGATGCAATCTCTGACCTGCTCCCACTGCCCCTGCCCAGGCTATGTCTAAAGTTCAGTTACTGAACCTGGATGCAATCTCTGACCTGCTCCCAGGGTGGCATGTAAGCTTGGCTTGTTCAAGATTTCTAATGACCAGGGGCTCCTTCTATGGCCAACAATGACCAAAAATTGGCCCAAACCCTTTCTGCCATATTCCCAGGATGGATGGATTTTCTTAAATGGGAACACCTGTGTTTGACCCTCCCTGCCTAGGAATATTACCCTGGGGAGCTATTCACCCGTGAGCCCAACCTTTCTCATCTGGTAGAAAAGGGGGGGGCGGGGTCCTACGCCCGCCTGAGTGATGGTGAGGACACGAGGGACCACTGCAGGGCAAGGCCCCCACACGGCACGGCTGCCGGCTTGTCCTCCGCTCCTGCAGAGGGGACCCAGCCCCTGCAAAGCCCTCCCTTCCTGCAGGACACGCTCCCTCCGGGAAAAGCCTCCCCGACTGCTGTGGGTGAAGGGAGCCCAGCCGGAGGCTCAACACCTGCAGGTGCAAACCAACCCTCCCACCAAGCCGGGTGGTCCTCGGGAGACGGCTTGCCCCACTGTTTTCGGACTCCATAGGTCCAACCAGGTGGCCAGTCAGTTATGTGGGCTGTGGGCCAGTCCGTCTACAGACAGGCGGTCTCCCGGGAGATGGACAGACCCCTGAAGACAGACAGCGCCCTACGATGGGCAGATTCCCTGCAGATGGGCAGTCCTCCTGGAGACGGGCACTTACGAGATGGCCTCGATCATGTCCATGCCCATCTCCACGCAGCAGTGGGCGTGGTCAGCCCTCGCTTCAGGCAGCCCCGAGACGCAGTAATAACAATCCCCCAGGATCTTAATACGTAAACAGTGATTCTCCTGGAAAGCAAATTAGTTTTTAAAATTAAAAATAGCAGGAAAGTGAAGTGGGAGGGAAAGAAACGGGAAGCAAACAGATTCACTCCATGCCTGGAATAACTTGCCTTTTAGGGCAGTGAGCACAGACCCAATCCCCATGAGCGCCCCGTCCTGGGACAGGGACAGGCTTATCAAAAGCCTTGGGGACAGAGGACAGGCTGAGCAGCCCTCGGTGAAGCATTCCAGCCTCCCCAAGCTCGGGAACTCACTTTCAGGGGTCCCCCCCTCCCTGGGTGTCACTTCCACTTTGTCCCAAGGTGGAAGAGTCCTCTCTCTGGAAGCTCCTGGCTGGGGGGTGGGGGACAGGCCAGCTGGTATCCAGACTCATTCTCCCATCACTCGCCAACCTCACCAGGAAAGTGGCTCTATGGCACCTCATTTGTCCCATCAAACAAATTCTTCGAGAATCGGGGCAGTGTTACCCGCAGGCCTCAAACCCCTCCCACTGACGGAGGGCTCACTCACAGCATCTCAGACTGAGTGTGTGGCCGGGGCTGATGCAGGGCGTGAGCACACCACCACCTGCGCCAGTCACCAGTTCCCAACAGCAGGCTCTGCCAGGCAGGGCACACCCTGGCCCCGTGCCCGCCCCTGGGGTTCATCGGGTCCTGCCCATGGCACCCTCCCTCAGGCAGCCCAGATCAGGCCCTCCCGCTGGCCCTGGCGGAAGCACTCGGTGCGGTGGGCACGGGCGGGGTGACTCACCGCAGCCAGCTTGTCGAAGCGGGCGAAGAGCTCGTTGAGGGTCATGACCAGCTCCTGGGCAGTGCACTGGGACGCCAGGCTGGTGAAGCCCTCGATGTCAGCGAACAGGATGCTGGGGAGACAGGCGGAGGAGGACCCCAGTGAGGGAGGACGGGTAGGGGGACACGGCCAGGGCCACCCTAGGCCTCAGGCCAGCGTGAGTCCTGGGGGCTTGTCGTGGCTGCTGGGGAGAGAGCCCACGGAGGCCCAGCCTGGGGGCCCGAGCATGCGGACGCTCCCTGCTGCCCAGGAAGCAGCTGCAGTCCTCTCTGGGTTCTAGCTGCTACCCGGGAGGAAAAGGGGGCCCTGAAGGGTGTGTCAGCCAGAGTTCACCACAGACCCAGGCCCCCATCCTCATCACCTCTTGGGCCTGCCCCTGCTGGACCCGGAGCCACCCCTCAAGGTGGCTGGGCCTGGGATGGGGCTCAGGACCGAATGGCGGCCTCACGAGGCCTCACTTCATGCACATGGGACTCCAGCCCCGAGCTCTCCGCCCCAAAGAAACACTCTAAAACAGGGGTCCTCAAACTTTTTAAACAGGGGGCCAGTTCACTGTCCCTCAGACCGTTGGAGGGCCGGACTATAGTTTAAAAAAAAAACTATGCACAAATTCCTATGCACACTGCGCCGACAAAAACGCCCAGTGGGCCGGATAAATGTTTTCGGCGGGCCGCATGTGGCCCGAGGGCTGTAGTTTGAGGACCCCTGCTCTAAAAGGACGGCCTAGAGGAGGCCGGGGGGAGGTGAAGGGGGACACAGCCAGGAGGCATCTCTGGAAGCCCCAGCTCGTCCCCACCAGCTCCTTTGGCCTCACCTACCCCCGTCCCCACCTCGCCCTGGGTGCCCACCAAATGCACCAGCCGGTCCCTACGCGGCACACTGCGGAGCTTCTATGTTTCTGAGGCTCGTGTTTCCAAGACTGAAACACCTTCCTTTTGTCTCATAACAGATGACCAGAGGTGAGGACCCAGCGCCAGATGTATAAGGGCCCCTAGAATTTTTTTTCTTGAAATGGACACACCAACGCAGTGACTCTCACGTGCTGAGCTACTCCCAGGCCGGCATGGGCTCACTGTGTCCGTCTCACGGAAGAAGCCGGAGACAGCGGCACGGCAGGCTCCCCCAGGCCTGTGCTGCTTTCGCACACCTCAGCCCCGGAGGCTCCAGAACTGAGCCCCACTCTAAAGGAAGAATGTAGGACTAAACATACGTTGTCACTGAACCGCCAGGGACAGGTGCCAGACACGGGGCAGTCCTAAGCCCACTTACCCCGTCTCACCTGTTCCTTCCCACAATGAAGGCTTTTGCCCACATTTCCCCCTCATTCTGCCTCCTGCCCAACCCCGGTGCTTCCCTGCCTGGCCCCCAGGACATGGTGTGCCCTCAGCCCTCGGGAACTGTAACAAACTATCTTTTCAATGGAAATCATCTCCCGGCTCACCACACCTGGATACGAATGAAACCTACATTTAAAAACATTTGGAAAGGGGGGGGGGGCAGGGGACAATGTAATACTGTCAACAATAATTATTTAAAACAAAACAAAAACAGTTGGACGCTGTTCTAAGCACTTTACATGAACTCATCTAAGCTTCTTTTTCAGGCGAAAAAACGGAGGCCCAGAGAGGTTGAGTCACCTACCCAAGGCCACACAGGCAACCTGGCTCCACAGTCCAGGAGTTGGACCAATAAACAGTACGCTGTCTGATGGCCTACAGTCACCTTAAGGGAATAAAGACATCTGTCAGTGGCCTGGCATTATGTACGGGGCAGAGGGAGGCGAGGGGCACATGGGCTGTTGTAGGTGGGCACGCATCAGCGGCTGCTTGACAGCTCCCGAGGGGCAGCGGACACAGGGAGTGCCTCCTGGGGCTGCAGCCAGGCTGTCACCTCCCAGGGCAAGCACGGGAGGGCAGCCCCAGGTGCCGAGCCCAGTGCTGTTTCCTGGCATCCAGGGTCCTCTAGCCACTCAGATCCCAGCCTGGATCAGCAAAGACAACTGCAGGAGGAAAGCCAAAGAGAGTGGGGAAATGGGGGGACACGAGAGACGAGACAAGTGAGGGGAAAGAGAGAAAGTGGGGAGCAGGAGGAGCAGAGGGGGAGACACTCTCTTCAGGCCACAGGACTCTGGACATCAGACAGCTGCTCGGGGAGCGGGCAGCCACGTGCAGAGTGCTCAGAGATGACAGGGAGTCGGGATCACCACCACGCTTTGATGCCTGGTGTCTGACATGCAGACAGGCTCAGCGCCGGCCCAGGGAGTCTCCGGGCTTGCGGCACGCTGGCGGGAAAGGAGCGAGTGAGGGAAGCTAAGGGCTCCGGGTCCTGCTCTGGCTTCCTAACCAAGTGCAGACCCCATCCTGGCCCACCTGCCACTTCCCGAGCTCCGTCTCTCAGGCAGCGGCCCCACTCCACCCAGGAGGCGGGAAAAGGTCTCTCCTCGCCCGTGAAAAGCACCCTCACATCGCTGTTCTGGACATTCTTCTTTGACTCAGGACATCAAAGCAAGTCGGGGTCAAAATCGGCTGCTTCAGAGTCAAGGAGCACGGTCAGCTGACCTCACAATTTCGAATGCACAGCCAGTGATGCCAGGCCCAGCGGCTGTTCCCCTCTGTGTCCAAGGCTGGTGAGACCCCATAATAGGAAGGAAAAACATCCCCGGACTTGGCAGAGGCAAGATAAGAAGAAAGAAAGAGAAAGAATCGCCTGGGAAGCATGAGGCAGATGTGTGTGAACCAGGGGCACCTACCCAAACTCACCTAAGTCACTCAAGGCAAGACAGGGGTCTGTCTGCCAGGCATGGACACGGCCAGGCCTGGGCCGTCCTCCTTCCCCACACGTGCCCTCGCTGGGCCACGGGGAGCACTCACCCTGCTAGACCCGTGGTCCTTAGGCCTGGGGCCTGTCAGAACCACCTGGGAGCTTTCATAAGGAGAGGTCTCAGAGAGCGCCCCCCCCACCCCCACCCCCGCCGAGATGCTAACTTGGTTGGCCTGGGGTGGGGTTCTGCTACTGATTGTTTTTGTTCTGCTTTATTTTAAGCTTCCCTGGTGATTCTAAGAGGCAGCCAGGGTTGAGAAGCCTGTACTAGTTCAAATGTCACCCTCCCAAGGCGGCTTCCACCCCCTATTTAACTCTACAGCCCCCCACATGTCTCTCTCCCTTCCCTGCTCGGCCTTCCCCTTGCGCTTTTCACCATTTAACATACTCTTTATGTTACTGTGGTGGTTACTTATCATTACGCTCCTGCCTGTCTCTTCTACTAGGAAGTGAACTCCTTAAGGGAGGGAGTTTGGTCGATTCCATGAACTGCTATATCCCAGCCCCACACCACGTCTGGCACAGAGTAAATGCTCAATAAAACGTGCAATGGACTGACCGAATAAATGAGGAGAGGTCGTGTCTACTTGCCTTCTGCTCTATCTGTCCCACCCCCACCACCCATGTACATCTAGCACTATACCCAGCACACAGTAGGTAACAAAGTACCACAAACTGGGCGGGGGGGGGGGGACTTAAAACAACAGAAATATATTCTCTCACAGTTCTGGGGCTAGAATTGTGAAACCAAGGTGTCAGCAGGGCCATGCTCCCTCTGGGATTCTGGGTACAAGCCTTCCTTCCGCTGCCTGGTGGTTGCTGTCACCCCTGGCCCACAGCTGCTCCACGCTCATCCCTGCCTGCGTCCTCACAGGAATCCTTCCTGTATATCTGTCTCACAGGGCAGGCTCCTCTTCAGATCAGGACACCAGTCGTTTTGGATGAGGCGCCCACCCTCCTCCAGCCGGACCCCTCTTAACCTGATTTCATCTACAAAAATTCTACTTCCAAATAAGGTCACACTCACAGATACCAGGGATCTCAACATACTTTTTAGAGGGACAAAATTCAGCCGGCAAGTGTCTAATATATACTGGCTGAATAGAAGAGAATAGTCACAGTTTCAAAGCAATGAAGCGGCAGAACCAGCAGCTCCAGTAGCCCTTCCTCCTTCTCCCCGGGCCTCTGAGAGCCCCAAGCATGCCATCTAAGACACGCACCTGCAGAGCCTGGGGCCCGGCGCCCACAGGTGCTCCAGGAGATACCGGACACAGGGGTGTGTGCGGGCCTCCTGGAATCTACTCTTCCAAGGCCCCTCCAGGACCTTCAGCAGCTGCTGAGGAATCGGGGAGGGCAGGCTGCTACAGCTCCTGCTGTCGGAAGGTAGGACAGAGCAAGCAGCCAGCCGGGCGGAGGGGGCTCAAATCAGGGCTTCTACCCCACATGGCAGCGTCGACAAGGCCTCAGAGACCCCAACCCCAAGCCCTGCAGCCTCCCCCACACGTTTGTGGAAACACTGCCACCTCCACATCCCCCCGCCCCCCTCGGAGTCACACTCCCCTGCCATGGGGGGGAGGGGGTATTCTGCTCAGTGACTGTCACTTTGGAAGGCTCCTGCTGGACGAGGGTTAGCCAAGGCAGACTGTTCACTGGGCAGCATCCCTGCTCTGCTCCTTGGTCATTCTGAAGGCCGTTTTACAAGCAGCCCGGGTCCAGACGTGCCGTAAGGTGCTAATTCATCGATTAGTTCCCACTTGAGAGCTCATGTTGGCAATGTGAGCAGAAGCCGGGCAGGCCCACTCTGCTGTGCGCGCCTCCCTAATTGCCTGCCATCCGTCACTCGCGGCCCCTGCATTCCACTCCAGAGGCAGGAGCGGGCAGGCGCCCATCCCAATGACCACAATGGGCCCTTCAGCCATCTGTCACTGCCTCAGCCCAGCTTCACCACGTGCGTTCTCGGTGAGGCACATTTCCTCACTGATGTTCCCTCTGGCTGCCAACGGGCCCTGTGACAAGATGACGCTGTCACATCCGGCAGCATCTGAACACCCAGGAGCTGAGTTCGCCTAGTGGTCTGGGCAGCCGACATCGCGAGGACCTGCCCCTCTGACCTCCTGCATTCCTCGGCATTGCTCAGGGGGGGTACTCAAGAAATGCCAAGAGGCCTGGCTGGTGAGGCTCAGTGGTTGAGCATCGACCTATGAACCAGGAGGTCGAGGTTCTAGTCTCAGTCAGGGCACATGCCCGGGTTGT